CTGTATTTATTTTCTCTTTCCTGCTCAAAGGCAAAGAGGCTGGAAGAGTAAAACACTATCAGGAAAGGGATGTCATAGGCTCACCTCTTCGTGAATCAGCTCCAATGGCTCTATCATGTACACAAAGTCATGATCTTCAAACATACCACTAGAACAAAAGAAACCACACAAGGAGAGAATTTAAAAATACAGCAAACAGCAAGAAATAGCTAGTGAGCTTCATTACTGTGCCTTTAAAATAAGAGTGTATGCGAACAATCCCTTTATAATGCCCTCAATCTAATTCGCATGTATGTATGGAACCCTACTGTGGCCCCAGCGCTCCACTAGACAGCATGTAGGCTGCAACAACTATAAAAGTGTACGCCAAGAGCATATAAATTATACCTGATATAATTAATTTTTGAAATTAAACAGACAGATTAGAAGACTAATCTGGGATAGGGCTGTTCCTGTAGTGGCAGTTACCTCAAGTTATTATTCCAGAACCACCTACAACTAGTACATATTTCAGGTTAGGCAAGTCCAGTATCGTCTGAAAGAAAACAGACGAGTCCTTCATACATAATAATAATCTAAAACCATCTGATTCTGAAGAGGCAAATAGAGGTATTTTAGGCTTATAAATTGTGATTTTCCATTAAGTAGTACGACTGTGTCATACAAATCACTAATCTTAATTTTGACAGACACAGGATTTTTTATAAAAGGGTGAAAAGAAGAGTTTCAAGATTCTTTGTCACCACATGGCCAAAACTAGTTCTTTACACGAGGTGCTACCGTGTTTGGGTCTAAAAGATGCCTACAGATGGTTATTTTAGAGCCCGCCTCTAAGTTAATGCATGTCCTCTCTTTGTCACCTGCCTCCCGCCCCCCCCTTTCCTGGCTAACTGCTACTTATCCTCAGGTCTAACTGATATATCCTCTGGAATACACCTCTGGGAAACCTTCCTGGGCTAGGTTGGGTCACTCCATAAGCCCCTGTCCATCCCCTCTACAGCACCTTGCAAAATAGTAATTAAATATTAATGTGTCATCACTTGTTTAATCTCTGAACCTTCTGCAAACACGAAGTGTTAAAGAGAACAGGGACTTTGCCCTCCTTGTGCACCATCGCATATCCAGTCCCTAGCATGGGAGTGGCACAGAAGAGTCACTAAAATAAATATCTATAAAAGACAAAAAGGAAAGGGTGAATGGGTAAAAAGCAAGCTTGGAGGGCAGGAGGACCCAGTGAGATTCCCACGTACTGAAGTCCATTGCAGGTAGACAGAGCCACCCTGGAGTCCTTGACGCCTCTGATGCTTCCATGGTAGTAACAGTGCTCTCCACCCTACAAAGCAGAAGGTTTAATTGATTGGTTATATTTTGCAAATCGTGATTCACTCTTTGGATGCTTCTACAAAGCAAAAAGAAATGCAAAGGTGGGAATATATGTGCATTGTGTATTAACAACCCTAGAAACTCCTCCTATATGAAGTCACAAATAGGACTAGGCGATTTTTCAACTTTTCTATAACAAGTATGTGTGTATTAATGAAGGAAAAAGACTTTCAAAGGAATGACACCAATATCACTGCTAAAATTTAGGTACATTTCTTAAGCATGTATTGTAGGAGTAGATACTTACCAGACGTTGTTATGGAATAAGAACTTCTACCTGAGAATCTCAAAAGTGTTGTTTATAATCATTTTTGATGGAAAACTATATAAAATCTTACTGCTTTCCTACCTTTTAAAATTAACTTTAAAAAAGTTTTTAGAAACAATATATCAACTTAGTTTTCAAAGTTAAATGGTAACTACAAGATTTATTTTTTAGAAAACACAGCAATTTTCTTTCTCCCTCCCTCCCCACCTCCAAGGCAACCATGTTTAACTCTTGGCTCTTTCTGCTGGAGTTTACCTATGTATTTTTGAACGGAATATTTATACTGCTATTGTCCTGATCGATTACATTTTAAAAATTATCTTCCTTATATAAAATCTTGAAAACCCCTCTTTCCCCCAATATATTCCAATACAGACTACAAGTTTTTGGTTAAATTGATATTTAGTGTTTACATTATGAGTATGTAAATATTGTTCACAGCTGTGTCACTATAATCATATTTTCTTTCTTGCTCCATTTTTGAGAATTTTTGTTTCATTCTTTTGTTTCCTTATTTTCTCATGCAGCACTTACACAGTCCCTATTATCTGAGAATACTCTAACACTGCTCTCAATATGGTCAAACATAGCAGGTAATGTGTTATATCCATTTTGTTCCTGGAAACACCCCTCTTATTTCCCTCCAACCTCTTGTTTCCATCCACCCTTGCTGTCGGGCGTCGCGCACAGCAGCCAGCCAGGACTTCTTTGCAGCCTCACGGAGCTCCCTTTGTCTTCCTCCTATATTGGATCCTAGATCTCACATTTTCCCCATTCACAGACCCTGGTCCCCTTTTTTGGAGGCACGTATCCTCTGGTACTCCTTGGAACCAAGAAGTGTTCATGGAAGATAAAGTCGGCAAAAACTTATATGTATGAAAATTTTTTTTCAATCCTCACACAAGATCCATAATTTGGGTGGGTAGAAAGTGATAGATTGGAAATTATTTTCTCTCAGCATTTCAAAGGCATTGTGCACAGTCTTCTTGTTTCTAACGTTGCTGTTGAAATTTTGATATTATTCTAATGTTAGACCTTTTCTATAAAATCTGTTTTTCCCCTTGCAAGAAGACTTCAGGAAATACTATTTGGCCCCATTTTCATGAAATCTCATGATGTGCGTTGGTGTGGGTCTTTGCTCCTTCATTGTACTGGGCACTGTGTTTTCTTTTAATCAAGAAAATCATGCATTTCAGTTCTGGGAAGCTATCTTTTATTATTTTTCTCAGACTTCCCTCCTTTTCATTTTTCTTCATAGACTGAGGCCCTCTACCAGACTAGGAAGGGATGGCCACCTGCTATATGGGGTGGGGAGTAAGTCAGGGAATGAACTACTCTC